CTTTTAAAGTAGATTTAATATTAAAAACGTTTTTTTTACTTATGTAAAACTGAAATTGGACAAAATTAGTCAATATTTATCTTATTTTCGTCTGATCAAATGAATATACAAACCTCATTGTATCTCATTTGTAAAGAAATACTGATTGGACAAGTCTAAACATTTATAACATATTTGAAACAAGTAGCTCTGGTGTTATAGATTCTGTTCAGAACCTGATAGATCTGACTGTTTTCTTTTTTGTCGTTATCCTAGTGAATGTGTCTGAGGCCAAGTACTTGGATACTTGCAGAAAATCGCAGGTACTATGCGCTATTTTTCATATTCCCTCTCAGCAGTACCTGAGGTAAGCTAATATTTTTCTGTTAGCGCTCACTTCCGGAGCAAATTTTTTGTACATAACATGCGGATCATCTGCCAACTCTGATCAGGAGATCAAAAGAGAGCGAATGAAAGATTAATAAGGAGATGAGAAAAGAACGGAAAAAAGAGTAGAGTAGAAATGAGAAGAAAATACATAGATTATAGTAGGCCAAGCGTGACCTTTCCACTCATCAGAACCAAAAAAAAGCGTTTCTTCTTTATCCTGTCTGACAACACTAACGGTAAAGAAATGGCTGTTATAGAAGAGGTAAAAGAGGGTGAAATACATCTTTCAAGTCTTCCTTTGAGTTCATATTTTGGTTTTATAATTGTAGAGTGCCAATGAACGTGTCATTAGTGCTTATGTCGATTGTTTATAAATGTACATTCAATTTTACAAAATATGCATTCGACAAACCCACAAAATCTAGTTGATGCGTTTTTTTTACGTGAACTATAAACACAACGTGTTATTGAAATGCATATGGTCAAAATGATCTCATAAGAAGGGTAAAAGTAAAGCTTTAAAGTATAAAAATCAAATTGCTTATATAAAAAAAGGGTTATCACAAAGTTTTGGTTAACCCCTGATGCAATTTACGCGAAAAGTAATTACCAGTTACTCCATTATGGTGGCGCTACCTGTAATTATTCCAAAATTAACATCTTCAGGGATTTTTATACTTTAAAGCTTTACTTTTACCCTTCTCACGACGCCATTTTGGCCATATGATTGGTTATGTGGGAAATAAAACGGTATGAAAAAATAACTTTTCTTATTTTCAATTGCATTTTTCAATTGAATTTTAGCCCGATGATGTGGCGTATGATGTATTAACTACACGTTTGGTTGATGATAAAGAAAACAAGCTGGTTGATGAAAAGGGCCAAAAAATTGAAACATTGCCATCATATATTGATGCAGCAAATTGGACGAAACGGGTAAGTTCGTAAAAGTTCGATCTACGATTGAAACAATGTTGTTTTTAGTCACGTTTTTTAAACCTGTTTTAGAGTCAATTGTTTCGTGAAATCGTCAATGCTGTTGTAGTAAGTTCAGATGTCAACATAACCGAAATGTGTCACTTTAAATGTCTTTTTATTTTTTTTCTAGTTACCAGCTTGGATGGTCTAACAAAATTAGTTTTTGTTTGAAAAAACTGTACTTTTTTTGTTGTTGTACATTGTTATTGTTGTTTGTTAAAAAATACTTATTTTTTTCTGTATTTTTTGTCTCACTGTAAAATAAAAGCTGCAAGAAATGTAACTTAATTTATAATTCAAGAGAATTAGGTCGACAGACTTAGCTTTCAAAGAAACGAGACTGGAAAACTTGGAACAAGCTAGTTGTTTACATTATGACGGGACCTGTAGCTAGTGCTCTTTTATATTTGCGTTAGCACTAGAAACTCTGTTTATTCAGTTAAAGCCGCATAGCACGTTACTTTTTTTCCAAGAAAATTTATCAAAAGGAAAGAGGGAGGAAGAAAGGAAGAAGTTCCACTGCATATCGAACAAGTCTTTTTTCACCGCACTTGGCTTAGAGACCATAAAAACCATAAAGTCATTTTTATGATTTTCCGAGCGCAAATCGGCCAAAACACAAAAATTCATATCTCGGTCCAGAAAAGTAGTTAAGAGCTCAAATTTCTTTCTGTCGCTCTTCTATATATCTGTGATATTCATACAAAGTTTCACCTTTACAACTCATTCCATTCCTGAGTTATTGAATTTTAATTTTTCTATAGATTAGCCCTTTGATAGGCTCACAATATAATGGCTTCCAAAATCGTTAGTTTTCTACCAGAACTGTTGAAATTTTCGTAAATGACATGGTTTGTAGTCTAATTTCGTTTATGAAAACATTTCTCAGGCTAGCTGTAGATGCTGGGGTCTCTAGAGACCTCCTTGAAAAACCGGAGTTACAAAACTTTGACGTTATAGAATTTCGGTTAGTTTTCTGTGT